TCCACCACCCGGCGGCCACTCCCCTTAACAAACTTGGCCTTGGCCCGCTCCTTCTCTGGCGCAGCTTGCTCCTTGCGCTTGCTGGGGCGCCTTTTCCTGGTGCTCCGCCAGATGTCCAGCACCTTATCCCACTCCATGTCGTAGTCGAGCAGACTCATTGCCAGCAAATCTCCCAGCTTGGCGTTGCAGAGACTCGTCCGGCGCCACGACTTGATCACATTCTGGCGGGAAAACCCGCGCTCGCACTCGACTGTGCTGAGAGGCAGAACAGCGACCGCAGCCCACAGACGGACTAAGTTGGGGTAGCTGGTCTGCCAGTCGTTGGTCTGCAAGATGGCCTTCAAACCTGCGTGAAAGGGCTGCTCTTCCTTGGGGGCAGTGGAGAGCACCGGCAGGAACGTGCGCAGCTCCGCTCGTGCCGCACGCTTCTGGACACCTGCGAAACGGGTTGAGCACAACCAGGGTAGAAAGTCAAGCGCACAACATGGGAATAACGCAACCACGGAAACGGCAATGCATACACGCAGGTCAGTGGGGATCTATTTCTCGCTCACCAGGCAAGATCGTGTCCCGGTTCTTGGCCTGAAACAGATGGACGAGGCCGTGCAGGTGCTCCTTGCACTCTGCGTCTCTTGCCTCGACGCCCCTCGGCCACGAGCGGGGCATGAAGAGCTTCGCCCCGTTCAAGCGCGTCAGGTCTCCCAAGCGCAGCTCGAGGTTGTACACCAGCTCGCGGGCGAATGAGCGGCAGCAGGTGTAGCAGCCTTGCATGTCCCCGCTGCTGGTGGTGTATCCCTTGACTGCCTCCTCGTGCAGCTGGAACTTGTGTACACGGGGCTGACCCTCCTTGTCCACCCCTTCCACAGTCACTTCACGGCAGTCGGGCGAGGCGTGCCGCGCGAGGAAAGCAGACAGCAGCTCGCTGGTCCCACCGCCAAACTGCTGGCCACAGTTCAGGTACCTCTGCTCCATGTAGATGATGGTCCGCCTCACCTGGGAGTGCACTGCAGTGAGGTCGACCTGTTGGTGGGGGGAGAATCGGTACACCGAAACAAAAGATAAGTACCTGGGAGAAGAAGAGAACTGCAAAACGGAACTCAACAACTCACCTGTCGCTTCTGGAATAGCAGGTTGAGCGCGTTGAGTGCCGTGTGCACATCTGCCAAGAAGAACAGGAAGTAATGAAACTTGAACGACGTTACTAAGTGGTACATCGTCTTGTCCGACTCCTCGAGCATAACGATGACAGCAGGCAGAACGCGTACGAATCGTGCGATTGCATCGCCGCGACTCAACCAGCGGACGCTGTGGATCCCCTGGACCTCGAGGTTGGTATGCGTGAACACTTCCTGCAGCTCCTTGAACTTGCGGTTGGAGTTGCTGGATCTGCCGAGATCTTCCGCCACTGCGCGGATAACCGCGTCGATTATGCCAAGCTCGGGTAGTGCCTTAGCCGCCTCCTTTGCAGCAAGCGCTTCCCTGCCACAGGTAGAAATGCACGGGTGGGGGTGTTAGAATTCGCACCGCGACATACCACGTTGCACATCTCATACCGCAACAACACCACCACAGCAACAGTTTACCTGTGTGCGATGCAGTGAGAAGCCACCACGTGCGGGATCTCCAGTCGAAGACGCCCAACGAGGCCCGTGTCGTTGCCTATCATCACAGGTGCCCCATCGGTGCTGATACCCGCCACCTTCTCCAGCGGCAGGCTAATACTGTCAAGGAATCCCGTGATCTTAGCATAAAGAGATGCTGCATCACACTTCTCGACGGAGAGGTTAGTCAGAAACTCTGTGGTGACGGCATGCTCACGCAGAAAGGTTACAAACACAATCATGTGCTTCCCATTGACGCGGTCCGTACTCTCGTCGCAGCTCAGACCAATGAATGGACTCGAATCAATGAATTCTCTCTGGCGCGCACGAAGGTATGTCGCTATTGCGGCGGTGATCTCTTCAAATCCGTACCTGCACGGGCATCAACGCGTGTGGTTAGTGATAGCTTCACGTATATCACATCCCCCGACGATATGTACTAGAGCAGTGTCACTTACGTCGTGTAGTAGGCACCATAACTGCTCTTTGGGAAGCCCGGTGTGCCACGTTGCGCTAGATGTTGGACGAGGTCGACGTACATCTCGATCGGGGCGTCGGACTTAGCGATGAAGAGTGCCGTCTCAAATAGCGCGAGCAGGCGCTCCTTCTCGGCGTCTTTCACCTTCTTGTTGTCGTCAATCCGGCGGTTAGCTTTGAGCGCCGCCTCGGCTGTCCTTTGTTTGCGTAGAGCGCGGCGGTGCTTCCTTGTGCGTTGATGCTTCCGCATTGCCTGGGTCTGCACATCGGTCGCCCCTTCTCCTTTGGCGCCGAAGTTCGTGCCCACACCGCCGTGCGCAATGCAGACCGAGCACTTGATTGACGGGAACCCTGCACTCGTCTGACACAGAACAAGCCACGGATAGTCGTCAGACCACTGTTTGTTGAACATAAATAAGGCATCCTGGTATTTCTCCTCGGCTATGTCGGGCAGTTCTGTTTCGGAGGTAACCTCAACCGCTTTCCCCTTCTGTTTACGCTGTCGGGCCTCCGGGGAGGAGTTCCCCACACCAGACGTTGGCGTAGCTTGACTGGCACCCCAGTTGATCTTTGTTTGGCGGTACGTCACTTTGATACCCCTTTTGAGACGGGGTCCGACGCGAGTAGTTCCGGCAGCGACAGGATGATGGTTCCGTGTGGGTTCGGGAGCGGCAGGAGTTGATGCGGCAGCGTCAGGAGTTGATGCGGCAGCGTCAGGAGTTGATGCGGCAGCGGCAGGAGTTGATGCGGCAGCGACACGAGGTAATGCGGCAGCGCCAGCATGTGTCGAACACTCGCCCTGCGTCCAAATGGTAGGTGCCTCGGGGCCCGAGGAAGGGAAAACAACGGTAGGAGCTGATGGCGAGACTAACACGGGAGCAGCTGAAGCTCGTCGTAAGAAGTCTAGGCCAGTAAGGGCGGCTGGCTTCGTGGCTGGGACGGATTCAGGGTTGTCACCTGCGGGCGTTGGATCCGCCATGGCTGCTCAGCTGTGCTGAGCATGCCGAGCTTGAGAGGGAAGCTACTGCCAGGTTGAGCTCGAACGTCACTTCCTGCAGGGGTTCACGACGAGTGCAGGAACAGAATGAGGGAGCAGATGGGGGTACCCCCTCTCCCGAGCCGCCATGGCGAGGGATCGTGGTCCTGGGTTTCCGTCTTTCCATGCAAGATGACAACACCCCCACCCACCCCACTGCCATATTTTATGGCGTGTTGGTGTGGACCGTGCCAGCAGTGGTGTGCTGTCTGTGTTCTCATTGGGCAGTTGTTGAACTAGGTTCATCGTACTCTCGTGTGATGGCTTCCAGCGAGGCAAAACGGTTCGGCGCGCACATGCTGTAAGTACAGCGCATGTGAAAAGATTCCAAGTGTGTGGGTGGGGTGGGGTTTCGTGGGAAGGTACAGTCTGTAAACGCGTCGCCCCCCCCCCCCCCCGGGCGGTCAAGTCCGTTTCAGTGTGACTCGCTGAAGTATACTGATTCGTCAGTGTTACTTGTTCTGAAACACGCAAAATGGTCAGTGTGGCAAAATTGCAAATACTGAAATTACAGTGCAAAAATGAGGCATATACTGATTTTTCAGGGAAAACGGAAATCAGAGCTACAAAATCAGCGTAATCAGCGTGTTTTACGCTGATATCTGAGGGCCTGATACACTGATGCTTCTGGGTAATTTTTTCAAAACTTCAAGTTACACTGATCCATCAGTGTAACCAAGAAGGACACACTGCTCAAAAGGGTTTTTAAAGTGGCTACACTGCTAATCATGAGTAGCCAAAATCCAAAGATAGGCCCTGGATCAGGGTGTCAGCTAGGTACAGTATGTTTCCTGGCCGCGTTGAAACTGAGCAAGCGTTTTGCAAGCTGGTTAATAAGTCGGCTAGCAGACTGTTGCTGCCGTGCCGTTCCACGGATTGCTTCAGCCATTTACAAAAGGAAATCTTGCAATGAATGTTCTCTTCCAGAGAGAAGTGGCCACTGCTCCTTAAAGCAAGTTCTAGGGGGGGCATTCGCATGCCAGATGGTGGAGCGGAAACAATGCCATTATCACACCGTGCCTTATCAGGGGCGTGTGAGTCGAAGGCGCGAAGTCAGACGTCTCCGTCTCTCACGGCTCATCTTGCCAGAGGCTTGCCGACTCACAAGGGACCCGACCCGACGACCTGTTTTGCCAGGGGCCTGTCTCTCCAGTGTCGGAGTCACTTTTGAGAATTCTCTAGAAGGGCCCAGAGACTTTTGAGTCACTTTTGAGAATTCTCTAAAGGGCCCAGAACTGCGTCAAGAAGGGGCCTGTCTCACTAAAGAATTCTTAAGATGCTCTTCGTCTCGTCCGGGGCGTGTGAGTTGAACGGGCGGCACTTTCTGCCAGGGGCCTGGCACTTCTCAATGTCCTCCCGGGTCTCAGGATTCTCAATGTCCTCCGGGTCTCAGGATTCTCGATGTCCTCCGGGTCGTCTCGCCAGGGGCCTGGCACTTTCCGGAACTGACGGGAAGACAGGGAAGAGGGGAGAGACCGGAAAGGGGTGTTGCTGGGAGAGCACGCGAGCTGAAGGCATGATGTCAGAACTTTCAATGTCCTCCGGCTCGTCTCTCCAGGGGCCTGGAACTTTCCGGACTGACTGACAGAAACAGGGGAGGAAAGGCCGGGATGGGGTGTTGCTGAGACCGGAATAGGGCAACTTCTGAGGCGACTCAAAAGTCACCTAAAATAGAGAAGAAAGGTGGGAGAAGACAGTTCAAACAAAATGGTCTGGACAGAATAGTCTGCTCTCTGGGTTACCGCAATGCGATGACCAAGGAGCTCCTGGGCTGACACTCGAGGTGGCTTGTAGAGCAGAAGAGAAAGGTGTTGGGGGGGGGGGGGGGGGGGTGGGTGGGTGAAGGATGGCAAAATGGGCGGAATAATCTGGCGCTTTTGGCTCACCTCAATACTCTGACCAAGGAGCTTCTGGGCTTCGACCATCCAGCTGCAGTGGAAAGGCGACAACAGAGGGAGAAGAAGCGAGTGCCATGAGTGCTGGGCATCAAGCGTCCACCGAGGCGACATGCAGAGGCGACAGAGGCGACATGCAGAGGCGACAGAGGCGACATGCAGAGGCGACAGAGGCGACATGCAGAGGCGACAGAGGTGACATGCAGAGGCGACAGAGGCGACATGCAGAGGCGACAGAGGCAACATGCAGAGGCGACAGAGGCGACATGCAGAGGCGACAGAGGCGACATGCAGAGGCGACAGAGGCGACATGCAGAGGCGACAGAGGCGACATGCAGAGGCGACAGAGGCGACATGCAGAGGCGACAGAGGCGACATGCAGAGGCGACAGAGGCGACATGCAGAGGCCAAGAAGGTTGGCTCGCTTTGGTTAATCTCCATATTGTGTATTCTTAGAAATGATAGCACGAGGTCGTATTCAGTTCAATCCTGGAAGAATAGATCGAATTCAAGGCCTTTTGAGACCCTTGGAGGCCCTTTTGGACTGGTCCCCCCACCCACACTACACCCCGGCATAAAGTATCGTCACTCACTCTGGCATCTGCGCTTCCTGTGCCAACTCCTGTTCCTGCTCTCCTCGATTCGATCTCACAACGCGAGACCCTCCTCCTCCTCCTTGGCTGGAAGGCAACTCTTCATCAAGAGGCTCCAGAAAGCTGATTGCAGTTCCAGATGCCCCTGCCCGACCCGTTCCATCATCCATTCCCCCACCACCCTAAACTCACTCTGGAATATTGGCTCCATGAGAGGACTTGCGCAACTCCCCACCAAAAGCTCTTCCTCCCCCACTGGATGACTCTTCATCAAGAGGCTCTAAGAAGCTGATTGCAGTTCCAGATGCCCCTGCCCGACCCGTTCGGCCAATGCGATGCAAGTATTCCTGCGGGCTGCCCGGCGGGTCGAAATTCACCTGCCCGGGGAGAACGAAAGTGTTGAGGAGTTGGGAGAGAGCGCCGAGCGATGAGACGTCTGTGGCCAATAATGTGCGCGCAAAAACGATGGTGGAGAAACGTCGAAGGACAGGAGAGGAGCGGAGCGATTACACAAGACATGTGCTGATGTGGCTGGAGGGACTACCGGTATAAGAGAATCCTCACAAACCACTTTTGAGGCGCCTCAAAAGTAGAATCCTCACAAACCACCTGCACTGCAACTAATGGCGGATGGGACATTGCCTGTCAGAAGCGCGTGAAATATCGGCCAGTGGAACACAGGCTGGCTGGCAGACAGTGACTAGCCGACTAACCGGCTAACCGGCTAACAGTTTAACCTGACAGACAGGCAGACTCACCACAAAGGGGAGGTTGGGAGTGTCAATGCCGTGTGCTGCTGCCACGTTGAGGCGCCTCAGGTGATTTCTTTGAGGCGCCTCAAAAGTCGTCTTCGGTCGGACAATAGCAAACAGCCAGCAAGACTCACCACAAAGGGGAGGTTGGGAATGTCAACACCACGTGCTGCTACGTTGGTGGATACTAGGACCTGATTGGGGGGTGGGGGGAGAGAGAGGAGAGGAGAGATGCTTAGGGTGTAGCTGTGAGGGGTTAAGGGTGCAGGTAAGAGAGGGAAAGAGGGAGCAACAGGTTTCAACACCGCGTGCTGCCACGTTGGTGGATACAAGCACCTGATTGGGGGTTGGGGGGAGAGAGAGGGGAGATATAGTGGGGATAGAAGGACGAAAAAAGCGGATTCTAGAGAGTGGAGTCCACATCACGTGCTCTCTAGTTGCAGGCAACACCATGGGGTTGCAGATAACAGCGGGAAAGAGGGAACAACACGTATCAACACCACGTGGTTTCAAGTTGGTGGATACGAGGACCGAATGGGTGATGGGTGCCTACCTCTCCCCACACGTCCTGCCCCACGGACCGAATGACCTCTCCCTGCCTGAATGCCTCCAGAGCTTGAACGCACTCACTCGCCCCATTACACCTTGCCCACACTCCCGCCCGCCTCCCCCACCCACAGCTGCAACCCACCCACGCACCTTCCTGCTTGAAAGCCTCCAGACCCAGAGCTTGCCTCCACTCTGGCCCTGTCGCTTTTGAGAATTCTCAAAAGAATCCACCCCGCGGAGACCACCCCGCTTGCTGCAGTTCGAATCCACGTTTTCCTCCAGACCCAGAGCTTGCCTCCACTCTGGCCGTGTCACGTCAGCACGTTGGCTGTCCGTGCCTGCCCGCACCCCTCACACACCTTGCATACCCCCACACACACCTTGCATACCCCCTCACAAACCCTATGTTGGATTTCACGCTTATAGCGTATATACGCGTTTCGTATATACGCTAGGGTTTGCACGCTATACGCTGGAGGGGTCTGATCAAGGATATGCTTTTCTGGGCAGGTAAAAAAACTTTCACGGGCAGGGCAAAAAAACCCTCCACGAGTGCGTCAAGGGGGGGTTCTGGTGGGATGTGCTTCTGCCAAAAAAATTCCCCCATACTAAAAAATTTGTGCGGCCAGACATAGAACAGCAATGTGACCCAACTCTCTACTCTACTCTACCACCACCGCTTACCCCCTTCTTGACCCCATACTCTTTCTTTTTCTCATACTCGTCCTCCAAGACGTCGTCCTCACCTTCCTCCTCCTCCACCATCACATCCGCGACCTTGTAGCCAGCGGGGATGGCGGCTCCACCTCATTCCCGCGAACAACTGAGGGCATCACATCTTCGCGCGTGTGCCAGTTGCGCACAACGTTCCAGTTATGCGCAACGTACACCAAATCCGCACATTTGGCGGATCCTAGGCAGTTCCGGCGGGCAGTGTGGACTGATTCCCACACCGCCCATCCACGCTCACAGAGAGATGCCGAGACGGGCAGCGAGAGAACTCTAACGGCGAGTGCCGCCAGCTGCGGCGCATCTGTCCCGTTCCACTGCCACCACTTAACCATGCTGTGAGTGCCCGCCTTTACCTTCTCCCTTGGTGCAATAGCGTCAGCCATCCCGAAACTCCCTTTGACATCAAGGAAAGACCTCAACTGGTCCCCCAAGGTGAGCAAATAATCGCACTCATCATCCCCCTCCTTCCCATGGCTGTTGAGGAACTCTGCATGGTTGGAGATGAAGGCCTTAAAGATCCTAGTGCATTCAGGATTACCGCCGAATATGTCCTCTTGGTTGGCGGGGTTGAGGATGCGTCCCGCCGCGTGCATGACGCACGCAAGACTCCCGTCCCACCTGTTTTTCAAGATGCGGCGGATCTGCTGCTTGTCGGTGTTGCTCAACTGCTCCTCATCCACGTCGACAAGGTCCCTCACATCCTCGGTAAGTTGGAGCATTATGTCATAAATGCGCCCCATCATCCCCTTAGCGCTCCCATACGTCTCCCGCATCGCCATGAAGGGGAGCTTCATGGGCTTCGAGAGGAACTCTGCAGTCTTCCACCAAGCCGCATCGAGTACCAGCGTGGCAAACCCCTCTGCAGCCGCCTTCCGCGCCCCCACAGCCCACTCTTTCCACAAGTCGGAGAGCACCATCTGGGTAATGGAGTTACGGAGCTCACACAGCCGGGACACAGCTTTATGCTGTGTCCCGAAGCGTGTTCCCGCTAGCTTCAACACCTGCAACACGGGTTCCCCCCACCAGCTCCGGTGTCCGCAAGTACCCCCGCGCCCAGTGGTGCATGCGGACGAAGGAAGTCATGTCCGCAGCCCGATCCATCACCCTTTTCGCCCACCCAAGCTTCCCCACATCTTCCATGAGCAAATCCAGCACGTGGGTCGCACAAGGAACTTGCTAAATGTGAGGCCATTCAGCAATCAGCTGCTGCTGGCACGCAACCGCGTAATTGGAGCCCCCGTCCATACAAAACGCCGCGATGTTCTCCGCTCCCACCTCCTCCACCACGGGCTTCAGTTAACCCGCAACATACCCCCCTGTCTATCTTCTTCTCCATGTTGCAGTCCACGCACTCCACCAACACGGCGCCCGCATCGTTAACGAGGAAGACATTTGCCTGCGGCCACGTGATTGAAGAACAGTGACATTTGCCTGCAGCCACGTGATTGAAGAACAGTGACATTTGCCTGCGGCCACGTGATTGAAGAACAGTGACATTTGCCTGCGGCCACGTGATTGAAGAACAGTGGCATTTGCCTGCGCCCTCCCGTTTCTGTCCGTCATCATGCCGGACGCGAGGGTTACTCCTGTTTTTTTCCAGCTTGCCTTGATGCCTACCAACCCGCTTTCAATGCCATAGCGGCCATCTTGCAGACCGGTACCGCCGATGTACTTCCGCCCAAGAGGATCATATCCGTGGCCGGCGCGGGGGGACGTCTTTGATTGCGTTGACGCAGAAGTGCTCGTCGTGCAATTCCGCAGCTTTTGAGCTATTCGAAAAAAATTGGGTCGGCGGGCTGCCCTGAAAACATTTTGGGCCGCGTATAGCGTTTTTGCTAGCGTTTCGCGTTTTGGGTGTACACGGTAGCGTACAAACGCTAAACGCAAAGGGTCCAAAGCGTACCCCCTCGCACACCTTGCATACCTCCTCACACACCTTGCGTACCCCCTCGCACACCTTGCATACCCCCTCACACACCTTGCATACCCCCTCACACACCTTGCATACCCCCTCACACACCTTGCATACCCCCTCACACACCTTGTATACCCCCACACACACCTTGCATACCCCCTCACACACCTTGTATACCCCCCCACACACCTTGCATACCCCCCCACACACCTGCCACTCACCTGCACATCTCCTTGCTTGAATGCCTCCAGAGCTTGCCTCCTGACCGGCCCTGTCAGCTCACCATGCAGCCGCACTGCTGTGATGCCGCCTTCAGTGAGACTGCGGGGAAAGGGGGCGGGGTAGTTTTACGGTTTTTGAGGCGCCTAAAAAATGCCGCCTTCAGTGAGACTGCGGGGAAAGGGGGCGGGGTAGTTTTACGGTTTTTGAGGCGCCTCAAAAATGCCGCCTTCAGTGAGACTGCGGGGAAAGGGGGCGGGGTAGTTTTACGGTTTTTGAGGCGCCTAAAAAATGCCGCCTTCAGTGAGACTGCGGGGAAAGGGGGCGGGGTAGTTTTACGGTTTTTGAGGCGCCTAAAAAATGCCGCCTTCAGTGAGACTGCGGGGAAAGGGGGCGGGGTAGTTTTACGGTTTTTGAGGCGCCTAAAAAATGCCGCCTTCAGTGAGACTGCGGGGAAAGGGGGCGGGGTAGTTTTACGGTTTTTGAGGCGCCTAAAAAATGCCGCCTTCAGTGAGACTGCGGGGAAAGGGGGCGGGGTAGTTTTACGGTTTTTGAGGCGCCTAAAAAATGCCACCTTCAGTGAGACTGCGGGGAAAGGGGGCGGGGTAGTTTTACGGTTTTTGAGGCGCCTAAAAAATGCCGCCTTCAGTGAGACTGCGGGGAAAGGGGGCGGGGTAGTTTTACGGTTTTTGAGGCGCCTAAAAAATGCCGCCTTCAGTGAGACTGCGGGGAAAGGGGGCGGGGTAGTTTTACGGTTTTTGAGGCGCCTAAAAAATGCCGCCGTCAGTGAGACTGCGGGGAAAGGGGGCGGGGTAGTTTTACGGTTTTTGAGGCGCCTAAAAAATGCCGCCTTCAGTGAGACTGCGGGGAAAGGGGGCGGGGTAGTTTTACGGTTTTTGAGGCGCCTAAAAAATGCCGCCTTCAGTGAGACTGCGGGGAAAGGGGGCGGGGTAGTTTTACGGTTTTTGAGGCGCCTAAAAAATGCCGACTTCAGTGAGACTGCGGGGAAAGGGGGCGGGGTAGTTTTACGGAGGAGAATGACATGGCATTCCATCCCCAGCGCATGAGCATGTAAAACCACCCCGGCTGGATGCTCATGCGCTCTGGCATCGACTCTTGCCTCCAGAGCTTGCCTCCTGGCCGGCCCTGTCAGCTCACCATGCAGCCGCACTGCTGCGATGGCTCCCCAGGATAGGCTGACGGAGAAAGGGGGGTGGGGGAGTGGGTGGGGTGGTAGATCTTATGAGGGAGAATGACATTGGTTGGCATCGTTCTTGAGTCGATTAAAAAACAGGGGGGGGGGGGGGGGGGGGGGGGTAAATAAAAAATATTATGAGGGAGAGTGACATTGGTTGGCATCGACTCTGTCAGGTCACCAGCCGCACCGCTGTAATGCCTCCCTCGTACAGACTAGAGAGAGGGGGAATAGATGGGCCCGAGGAAGAGTGGGGATGAGATGACTTTTGATGAGCCTGGACAGCACCGTTAGCACAGTGAGGGAGGGAGGCGAAAGAAGAATGAGCCTATAATTCCAAACGTATTGACTCCAAAAAAGAAGGCGCGAAGCAAGGAAGTGTGTGAGTGGGAGGTCAGATGGGGGCGAGAGAACTGGTGAGAGATGAGGCGATTTCTCGCCATGCCCATGCCCATGGCTCATCTCATCCCCCACCCGTTTTCTCACCCATTAAGTGACCTGAGGCACTCACGCTTGGTGCAGCCTCTCTGCTTGATGCACTGTGCGAACAAAGACTAGCGCTTGGTGGTTCTGGTAGATGGTGCAAATAGCAAGAGAAGGGGAGAGGTGAGAGAGTGAGAAACGTGACTAAGGGGAACACTTGAGAAATCTTAGACCTGTAATAAAGGGACAGTACTCAGAAGTGATCCAGGAAGAAACTCAACAGGTGCCTAAGCGTTGAAACACCCCTCTCAGGGGTTACCCAGGAAGAGACTCAACAGAGGTGGATAGAAGCATAGGCTGCGGAGGCAGTAGAGCAGAAGCTGTCATTAGCGGACAGGTGGGCTGCGGAGGCCTTACTTCCATCAACTCGTGCTGTACTGAAAGAAGCATAGCCCGCGGAGGCAGTACAGCAGAAGAGTGGTCTTCCTGCGAGGGTGCATCACCGTTAGGTGTTAGAGTGAGGATGGTTCACCGGCTTGGATGCTCTGTGTGGTCTTCCTGTGAGGGTGCATCACCGTTTGGTGTTAGAGTGAGGATGGTTCACCGGCTTGGATGCTCTGTGTGGTCTTCCTGTGAGGGTGCATCACCGTTTGGTGAGAACACAGCGATATTTGTAGCTTTTCTGGAGGCGATATCTGAAGATCACCGTTCGGATGTCTGAACATCTGAGAGCACAGCGATATGTGTAGTTTAAGAATGCCCCACCTGCTCTCTCACCTTTAAGGATGCTCGCCTGCGGAGGAGGTAGAGCAAGAGAGCAGTTTTCCTGCGAGGGGTCACACGATAGGCCAGCTGCTTCACTGGGGGCAATGGGTGGCAATGGGTGGAAACAGGTGGCAAGGGGTGGCAAGGGGTGGCAATGGGTGGCAACGGGTGGCAACGGGTGGCAACGGGTGGCAATGGGTGACAATGGGTGGCAATGGGTGGCAATGGGTGCCAACGGGTGGCAATGGGTGGCAATGGGTGGCAATGGGTGGCAATGGGTGGCAATGGGTGGCAATGGGTGGCAATGGGTGGGAGGAAAATGCTTAGGTAGCATGAGTGGGTGACACGACATGAATTCGAAGAATTCTCTCAACTAAATACGCCACGCCACAAGGAGCATACGCGGGTGACACATGAGGCGGCACCCAGCCTACTTCACTGTTGCAATGGGGCACGGATTTTAAGGCTCCTAAAGAACAGCCACCCACATCCCTGACTCGAGGAAGAAGAGGGTAGTCACCCAACGTTTTGTCAGATAACGAGGGTTGAAGGATGAGGATGTCGCCTCTGGGAGCACTCGGAGTCGATACAAAATACACCAGGAAATTCAAGGCGAGCAGGGTTATTACCCAAGGGTTTGTCGGACGATGAGGGTTGAACGATGAGCATGTTGCCTCTGGGAGCAAAACGGCGCAGCAGCAGCTCTGATTCGGGGAGGATGGTGGCGGATACAAGGACGACCTGTGAGGAGTGCAGAGGGGTGGACAGGAGTGCAGACGGGTGCAGAGGGGGTGCAGGGGGTTGTGGAGGAGTGCGGAGGAGAGCAGCAGGTCTGAGTCGGGGAGAACAGAAGCAAACACGAGGATGACCTGAGAAAAAGGGGCAGGTGAAAAATAGTTTTACCTGTATGTGTGGCCGAAGATCCTTTTTCTTGCCCGCCTTGACCCTCTGCGGTCTGGGCAGCAGCGAAAAAACTTTCCTCAGGTCTTCCAGCAGCCCCATCTCAGCCATCTTGTCACACTCCTCCACCACCCAATGCCGCACCTGCCCGAGAAAATCTTTAGGCAGGCAGCTTGGAACAACAACCTGAGCTTTCCTTTTCCCATCATCAACCCCAGGTTTCAGCTCCAACCCTCCTGCCAGATCCAGTGCTGTCGTTTTACCCACTGCCGGTTCCGATTCTGCCCGTTCCTCAGCTTCTCTGGATGAACTGGGTGCATCTCCAGATGAAACTGGTTCATCTCCAGACGAAACGGGTTCATCTCCAGATGAAACGGACTCAGAATGGGTGGTTTCAGTGGTAACGCCTTCAGGTGCAACTGCGGCTCTGGTTGGTATCAGTGGCCCAAGAGGAGGATGCTTCTCAGAAGCTGCCTGCAACAGATGCATGGAATCAGGCAGGGGAGGAGTAGAGGAGTGGAGACGAGGGTAGGAGGGGAGAGAGGCGGTTGGTTCAGTTTGGATTGATCAGTGTTGGATGCTCACAGGAAAGGAAGGAAGAAAAGAAGAGAAAAGAAAAAAGTAGGGGTGCAGAGGTATAGATTGGTGAAGTCAGCAGCCACTCTCCCTCCCAGTGCAGCACAACCGACATTCACCACCCTCACCACCCGTACCACCCTCACCATCCTCGAGTTTTGAGTCGACTAAAATAAGGTGTGCAAAGGGACAAACATGTGAAGTTAAGAGCCACTCTCTCACTCATCCAGTGCAACCCACAGCCCAACTCCACCACGCTCACCTCTTGGAAGAGTCTCAACAGCCGGCCAGGCGTTGCAACCAGCACACGGGGTGGAAACCAGTGGCCAGCTCAAGCTCACATGCCTCGGAAACCACAACCCAACCCCCAACCAGCCACTCTCACCCAGAGCAACACACCCCACGCTCACCTCTTGAAAGAGTCTCAATAGCCGGCCAGGCGTTGCAACGAGCACACGGGGTGGACGACGGTGAAGAGAGCGCACCTGAGGGGCTATGGGGGTGGTGTTGGAAGGGAAAGAGGGAGGAAGGACCGTCAGTCAGTCACCACATCAACCGTCAGCTCCTGCACCAAGCGAGTGATACGGCATGAACCAGGCAGGCTCCTTGCAATAATTCATAGCCACCAATCAGTGACCGCCACTTGCCTGAGACACAGCTTGCTGTGATGCAGCAGCCGTCACCACATCAACCGTCAGCTCCGGGACGAAGCGAGTGAATCGCCGAACCTCCTCCGCCACCTGATTGGCCAGCTCCAACGTGGGCGTCAGAACAAGACAAAACGGACCACTGGTAGCGCTGTCAGCGGCAGCAGCGGTGGCTGCACCGCTGCCAGCTGTCGGGCTCTTATGGGCTGCTGCTGGGCGTTTCCCTTCTTGAGGGGGGCGTTTGAGGAGTTGGCGTAAGCGAGAGGAGGGGATGTGGGGGGGAGAGAAGAGGGAGGAGGAGAGGATGGGGAGGTGGAGGAGGTGGAGGATGGGGAGGAGGTACGCGAGGGTCTTGCCTGTACCTGAAGGGGAGGATACGAAGAGCTGGGAGGGAGGGAGGGAGGGAGGGGAACAGGGGGAGGGCAAAAGATAATGGGAACGGGGGAAGTGCAAGGGCAAAGGGGAGGTGGAGGAGGTGGAGGAGGTGGAGGAGGTGGAGGATGGGAAGGAGATAAGCGAGGGTCTTGCCTGTGCCTGAAGGGGAGGATACGAAGAGCTGGGAGGGAGGGAAGGGGGGGATAAAGGACATGGAAAACAGGGAGAGTGAAAAGACAGCGTCAAGAGCGGCAGCATGCTCAATGCGGTGCCTCATATGATGAGCAGATGATGCGGAATGGGACACTTTTAAGAATTCTCATGACTTTAGAGCCACCTCATAAGCTTAGTGAATGAAATATGCAAAGTGGGACCTTTGCCTCACAGCACATTGCTCAAGGCCCCATTTTGCATCATCTCACGGCAGCTCAATGCTTTCACGATTGACTTGCTCTACTCACACAACAATACTCAAACGCCCAACTCGCCATATACTCACACTCTCCCCCTTCAGCAGCCGCGGAATGCCCTCCTCCTGAACGCGCGTGGGGACGAAGAACCCCGACCCACGAAGCGACCATTGCAGCGGCTCCGCCAGCTGGCGGAAGGCGCCTCGAACCGCCACCATGTGACTCTCCCCCTCCCCCTCCCGCTGCTCCCTCTCCCCCGCCCCCTGCTCCCCCTCCCCCTGCCGTTGCTGTTTCCCCGGCAGCTGCTGCATCAGCTGCTGCTGCTGCTGCTGCTGCTTCTGCTGTTGCTGCTCCTTCTTCCCCTGCCGCTGCTGCCCCTCGAGCCGTTGCTGCCCCCCCTGTCGCTGCTGCTGCCGCTGCTCCTGGCGGTGGTGCTTCCCTTTGCCGCCACTCACGGCGCCAGTTGCGGCGCCATTCGCGGATGAAAAAGATCGGTTCGATCCAACAGGTAGGGAAGAAACACCTCTAGTAAGGAAGGGTACAATGTGAGGGGACCCACTAACGAGGTTTAACGAATGACAAGCAATCGAAGGCAGTGCGACGAGAGGACTCGGAGGATTAAGATTAGGGTTTGCTGTTCCGTTGGAGATTGACGGGGTGGATCCGACGGCGGAGAACGACCCAGAGGCGATCGGACGTAGGAGATGGATTTGATGAGCGGGATGGGAACCAATAAGTGGATCAAGTTCGCGACAGGTATGCGACACTGTTGCTACGATCGCGTTCGGCGACATCCGGGTAACCAGTCGCGAGAAAATCCAGGTCACGGCTCGCGATCCGAGAGGCCTACGAACTCCTGCCATGGCTGCGGCACCTAAGAATTAAAATGTAGGTCAAGGCGGGTTCAATGATGGATGGAAAATCTTTGTAGGTTTCCACGCCGCTTAACTGCATGGGTCTTCCGTCGCGCGAGCCGAGTCGCTCGCTTGTCCGACGTCATCCAGGCGTCAGCGTGACGATTCGTCAGCTAAAACTGGAGCGAACGAAGAGAAGATCGTCATTTCGCTCAGGCACGCGAAAGCCGGGTCGTCAATTGCGGGGATCTTGATAGGTTATGGGAAGGTCCGGCAGGATCTCCGCCGCAATAGACGGCACAGCAAGCGGCAGGCACAGGCATACTACGCCATCGTGGTTACCCCACGTGTGGATTCGTTTTTAGCTGATGCTGTTTGATTCAAACAGTTACACTTACTGCCAAAGAATTCTCAATCAATTGTTGAGTTTCGTAACACACCATCTGTAACACAAATGGCACCACTTTCGCAAATCTCAATCCGCATTCGTTCACCGAGTTTCGCTCGCGACTCCGTCAACTTCAGCCGCTGCGGAACCAAGCCCAGCGAAGATCCCACCATCGCCACACTTTCGTCGCCGCCCCCCTCTCCCCAGCACCGTTTTGTCCGCTTCGTCTCCCCCTGCCGAAATCCCCGTCACAGCGGCGCCGCTCTCGTATGCGCGTTTCACCGTATCGTGCTCGCCAATCCTCTTCGCGAAAACCACCGTCCAAATGAATATTCTAAGTAACCCTGTTTTTCCCCTCCCCTCCCAATCCCTTCGTCCATTATAAATTCCACTCCAGCAAGTCGAGTTTCATCATCACAGCCTTTCACTCGTTCCACAATTCCTAGATCAACAGATTCGCACTTCTCAGCGTAACTCGACCTTCGCTACAAGAGATTTCCACTTCCATCCTCTTTGTAGCTCGTTCGTTCACATCCAAGTTTCAGAAATGACAAATTCTCGCATTCTCGCCGTTCTCGGGCTCGTCTGCGTCGCCCTCTGCGTGGCTGGCGCGAGCGCACAAGCAACGCCTCCGCCGAAACCCACCAAGGCGCAGCTCAAGGCGGAGCTCAACAACATGGCGACGAACATCACGAAGCGTTACCCGCAATACGCGAAATACGCCAAGGACATCAACCGTTACATCGGCCTCGCGCTCAACTCCAAATACGACTTCTCAGCCCTCGCAGACGCCACCATCCTCCTCCCCAGCGACACAGAAGCCCAAGCCCTCGCTAAGAAGCTCCCCGCTAAGAGCAGCAACATCCCCACCATCTACAATATCACCGCGTACCACATCCTCCCGCGGAAGCTCACCGTTCCTCAGCTGAACTCCCTCAAGAAGTCGCAGCCGCTGGCGACGCAACTGAAGCAAGCGATCTACAAGGTTTCGCCGCAGAATGGTAACGCCGTGTCGTTCGCCCAGGGGCCGAACGCGCCTGCTGCCGGGTGGACGACCATCCAAATCGCGCGGCTGTACGCTGGGCCTTACTTCATCGCGCATGGCGTGGATAAGGTTCTTATCCCCGCTGGCACCAAGATGCCGTAAAATAACGTTCAGTACATTAGATAAACCACACTGCAGTAGTGCAGTCTCTATTCCAGCAGGAGCTACTCACCCCAGTTGACTGTCAGTGGCTTTCTGTTCAACCTCTGAACAGATTCACTGACAGTCAACTGGATAGGACAATGCATTCTAGAACCTTATGTATAGAGCCAGGCATTATAGTGTTGATCCGTTTTACAAGAGAAAGGAGACAAAACAAAACATATTCGCGTAGGGAGGACGATACAATGCCCCGTCAATCAGTAGGACGGACTGACTGACTCAACTGAATAGGTACCGTAGTCGGTCGGTACATTCTTCGTGTGATTTTCTTCAACCCTCCCCAATTTTTACGGTAACACTGTCTGCTTAGATCCCTTCTTTTTCCTTTTGGTCTCCATTCCTTCCCTTTTTAAAGCTTTTCCCTTTTCATAACTTCACGAAGCATAGGCAAGAGAAATACAGCCTTAGAGAACCATGGGAACAAAATTATATGACAGAATACAACGTGCCACCCACTGGAGGGTACAAAGCCCTGCAAAGCCCTAAAAAGCCTGCAAAATCAGTCTGAGGGACGATACAGCCTGTTCTTCTGCTTCTGCAGCTCCCCTCGCAGAAAAAAATAATGTGCTTTCACCGCCTGCAGCATCTGAGCGCGCGTGTCCGGGATAGTAATGTGGTTTCTCCTAAAGTACAGCAGCACCTCGTGCATCGATAGCTTATCGAGCATATCCTCTACCACCACTCGCTCCCAGTCAATGCTATCATACTCGTCCTCACTCTCCCCAGGTAGACTCCCCCCTCTCGCCCCCACTCCTCCACTCCCTCCCCCCACTCCTCTCTCTCCAACCCCTCCTCCCGCTCCCCGCCCCCCTGCTCCTCCTGCGTCCAATCCCCCTCTCCCTCTGCCACTCCGACCATCTCCCCCAGAGCCATCCACGCGGGATCCCCCTCCTAGTCCGCCTGAGGAGGAGCGCATGCGGCGCCGCTCTGCCTGCATCTGGAACTGCAGCCGCACGCTCTTCTTCAGCTCCTCCCGCACCACCAGCTGCCACTTTAGGAACTCCCGCCACCGCTGCTCCCTGCGCGAGTTTAGGGCCAACTGCTGGCTCGTCCACTCTGGGTGGGATGAGCGGGAGGGGGGCCGGGGGCCGGGTTGAGAGGGGAAGCAGAGAGCAGGTAAGGAGAGGAGAGAGAGACCAGGCAGTGGAAACGGGGAGGTGAAGGGGGGAAGGGGAGCGGAGAGGGAGGAAGGGGGCAGCCGCACACTCTTCTTCTGCTCCTCCCGCACCACCAGCTGCCACTTTTAGAAACTCCTGCCACCGCTGCTCCCTGCGCGCGTTCAAAGCCAGCTGCTGAGTCGTCCATTCTGGATGGCATCGGGGGGAGGAACAGGGGAGGATGAGTGAAGGAAGTGGGGAGGTGAATAGGGGAACGAGAGGTGAGGAGGAGGGAAGAGGGCATGCACTCTTCTTCAGCTGCTCCCTGCGTGCGTTCAGAGCTAACTGCTGGCTTTCTCCACTCTGAATGGTTGATCGGGGAGAGGACGGGGTGGGGGGATGGGGGAAGGACGGGGGGAGGACGGGCAGGTGGGAGGGAGAGGAGGGGTGGGGAAGGGAGGGAGTCCCATGAGGGAGGGGTGGGGAATAGGGAGGGGTGGGGATGAGAGGAAAATTGGGGAAGGGAGGGAGTCCCAGGGGAGGGCACATGGTAGAGTTGAGATGTAGGCTAGGCGGGTTGTACGCAGCTAGCTGAAAATGACATGCCTGGGGTAAATCGACATGGCTTTGAAGGCAGATATAGGGTTTAGGATTTAGGGTTTAAACATGCATACCATATCCACCAACCTCCACCACACTCACAAGCACCCATCCGCACTGCACGCACCTGTTTTCTGGCTGAGATCGTCCACTGACGTTCGCATGCACATGCTGCATACCATACCACCAACCTGAACACCATTCACAAGCACCGCACCCATCTACACCGCACGCACCTGTTTTCTGGCTCAACTCGTCCACTGAGATTCGCATGCACATGCTGCAGCGCTGCACCGACCTCCGACAGTCTGCGAGAGGAAAGGAGGCAGAGGAGAGAGTGCAGGGGAAGAGGTAATCAGTGTGAATGGCATGGCAGCACATGCACATCATACACAGCACATGCTGCAGCGCCGCACTGACCTCCGACAGTCAAGAGGCAGGGAGGGAGAGGAGAGAGTGAGGGAGGAGAGGGAAGCATGATGAATGACAGCACATGGAGGAGAGGAGGAGTAGTGGTGACACCACAGACACGAAATCCCACACACAACACAGCAATCACTTGTGAATATTGAGTTTTATCATTAGCACTCATTCCTTATCCGCCATCCCTACCCCTCCTTCCGCCCCTCTCTTCCATCCCCCTTTTTCCAATCGACCGGTATAACCACTCACCGTAGAGGCATGGGTCAGCGATCCACATGAGCTCAGCATTGGCAATCTCAATGCTGTGCACCAACTCCCTGTCCAGCTGCCCTTATACCTCCCTCTCTCCACCCACCCAGCCTTACAGTCACTCACCGTAGAGGCACGGGTCAGCAATCCACATGAGTTCAGCGTCTGCGATTTCAACGCTCTGAACAAATTTCAGTCCAGCTGCTCCTTACACATCCCCCCACCCACCCCCCTCCCTTAAAAATCACTCACCATAGAGGCAAGGGTCAGCGATCCACATGAGCTCAGCATTGGCAATCTCAATGCTGTGCACCAACTCCCCGTCCAGCTGCTCGCTTGTCACTTCCTCTCTCCACCCCCCTTTACAATCACTCACCATAGAGGCACCGGTCAGCAATCCACATGAGTGTAGCATCTGCGATTTCAATGCTGTGCACCAACTCCCGGTCCAACTGCTCGCTTGTCACGTGCTCTGCTCCCTCCCCCACATCCTCCTTACAATCACTCACCATAAAGGCACGGATCAGCAATCCACATAAGCTCCGCGTCAGCGATTTCAATGCTCTGAACGAACTCCCGGTCCAGCTGCTCGCTTGTCACTTGAGCCGGCATGTACTCGTCGCGGTTGTAGTAGTGATGCCTCACGCCGTGCCTCTCGCTTAGGAAGAGGCCGTACAGGTCTATGTGGTGGCACTTCTGTGGAATTGGAAAGAGGAAGGGGAAAACAAGAGAGGAAAAACAGCTGTGAGAGACAAAACGAGAAGCATCTGCTGTTGTGGGGACCATCTGTTCCAGAATGCGAAAGGACCAAAAACGAACCTCAAAGTACCACCACAAACAACAAAATTACCACTTTTGTCAAGCAAGCCATGTCCCGACACGTCCTTCTCACCTGCAGGGCGAATTGAATCCCCACGTATCCCACCGATGTGAAAGCGCCAAAGGTGTTGAATATCTGTGGTGGGGAGAGAGAGGGAGGGAGAGATGGTGGCAGCAGGAAAAAGGTTTGAGGCGACTCATCGAAGAAAAGAAAAAACACTTGAGCGGATGCTGCAACTCATCTTTAACGCCCCTTGTATACCACCCAGTATAGCACAGCACCGCAGAGCACAGCACAGTGACTCCCACCCACCTGCGACTCAAACCCCAGGTCCAGCACATAGAGCGGCCCCTCCCTGAAGACCCGCTTGAAGTTGAGCAGATGCTGCAGCTCGTCCTTCACTCCCCTCAAGTACAGGTGGTATACCACCGTCTCGTTGCCCTCCCTGAACCCTGCCTTGTCCGGTATGCTCAGGCGAATCGTGGTCTTCCTTCCCACCTGAAGTGGGTTACATGAAGGTGGGGCGGGGGGGGGTTGGTGGGGGTTGGATTCGAGAGGTTTCAAGTACAGGTGGCATACCATTGTCTCGTTGCCCTCTTTGAACCCCGCCTTGAGAGGGGGTAGATGAAGGAAGGGGGGAGAGTGGTGGGGGGTGGAAACAAACAATGGGTTTCAGGGTACAGGTGGTATACCACCGTCTCGTTGCCCTCCCTGAACCCTGCTTTGTCCGGCACGCTCAAGCGAAGAGTGGCCTTCCTCCCCATCTGAAAGAGTTAGAAAATGGTATCCGGTTAGGTGGGAAGGTGGGCCCACCCCTACCACTGCTAGTGAACATCTCTTGTGGATAGATAGGAAACAGTGGTAATCGGTCGACTCAAAAGATTGGAAACGGTGGTAATCGGTCGACTCAAAAGATTGGAAACGGTGGTAATCGGTTTCCTATCCAGCTGTGACGTTTCGGTGTACAAGCCATCTTCAAATCACACGGAGTTTTATTGAGATCAAGCACTCCTTATATGCCTAAGGAGCGTCACATCACCCACATCCAATTCATGCGGGAAATTCATCGCAGACGATTTGGGAACAGAGGGAAACGAGAAATAAGAGAAACTGCAAAAAGCTACAGCACTCTAACACTTGCTAGCGGAAATCAAAACAATTTCTAGCCCTCTTCGGTGGCCTCCGCCTCCACGTGGAAGGAAACAGGCCATCTTTCTCTGCTCCTCTCCTCCCCCGTCCCCACTGTTCCCACTTCTCACACTGCGCGCAACCATGTCACGCTTGCTCATCAATCTCCCTCGAATTGGTATCACATCACCCACCTGCTTCTCGTACCCCTTAGTGGGTGCTGTGTTAAAGCGCAGAACCATGTCATGCTTGTCAATCTCCTCCCCATCCTCTCTCAGCAGCAGCGCACCCGAGTTACCCACCACTGCACACGTCTTCCATACCTGGAAAGGAAGCACACGCACAACAATATAGAGGACAAGACAGATAAACGGGTGCAAAGGTTAGGGTTTCTGGTCTAGGGAACAGCAGGGGAGACCCACAGCAGCAGCGCACTGGTATTTGCCGGCATTCTTTGAGTCACGTGATAAAAGTGTAGTTTTGAGACGTCTCAAAACCACAGCAGCAGCACACTGGTATTTGCCGGCATTCTTTGAGTCACGTGATAAAAGTGTAGTTTTGAGACGTCTCAAAACCACAGCAGCAGCGCACTGGTATTTGCCGGCATTCTTTGAGTCAACTCGTTCACTCGCTGTAGTCTGATAGATGCCGGTCAAAGGTAGCACTGCTACGTTGATTGAACTTTTGAGAATTCTCAAAAGTTCAGATGCCGGTCAAATGTATGCACTGCCTGCAGCTGCCTCCTCTCCTCTACCGACAGCCCTTCCAGCAGCAATGGCCCCCCACCTTCAACTTTTTTGTCAGTCGACTCACCTGAAAAGACCGCTAACAGTCGACTGGTAGACGTCGCTCAAAGACAAAACGGCCCTCCGTTTGTTGTAATTCAAGCTCAACTCAGGAGTCCAGCCCACTCACAGTGGTCTGATAGATGTCGGTCAAAGGCAGCACAGCCCGCAGCTGCCTCCTCTCTTCAAACGAAAGCCCCTCCAGCAGCATCGCCGATCTCACTACATACAGAGCCCCCAATACTTCTGTCAACACAAGCTTCTATCACTCACAGTGGTTTGGTAGATGTCAGTCAAGGGTAGGACAGCCCTCAATTGCCTCCTCTCTTCAATCGACAGCCCTTCCAGCAGCATCGCCGATCTCACCGCTGATCCTCCCCCTCCCCCTCCGCTGCTCCCCTCTTCTCCTGCTGCTGGCGGCGGTGGCGGCATGACGGCTTGTGCAGTGAGCAGGTAGCTTCCCACATAAGGGTCGACTGTCAGCTTGTCTGTGTTGCGTGTTTCCTGTTGCACAGGAACACAAATGTGGGGGGGGAAACATGAGGGTTGGCAAAGGGTCTGGCAGGCGGCATAGCACTATCCGTGAGGGGCCTGTGCTGTGCTGTGAGCAGGTAGCTTCCCACGTACGGGTCGACTGTCAGCTTGTCCGTGTTGCACGTTTCCTGTTACCACGTTACCGGGCGACAGACAGAAGCAGGAGGGATGGGAAGGTTGGGAAGGAAGGGTAAGGCAGGCAGGCTCCGGGCTGCAGCAGTGCACCATCCATGAGGGCTTGTGCTGTGAGCAGGTAGCTTCCCACGTAAGGGTCAACCGTCGACTCAAGAGCCCAAAAATAGCTGAGGACCGTTGACTCAAGAGCCCAAAAATAGCTGAGGACCGTTGACTCAAGAGCCAGTTACCCTACCTTGCGCCTCAAAAATACCACCCACCTCACAGTTATCCCCGCCATAAAGCACAGCACAGCACAGATGCACTTGTTGTCTGGCCGCAGAATACTGATTATTGGCCTCAGAGTTACCAACCACCTACCTCACTCACAGAGCCCACCTCACAGTTATCCCCGCCATAGAGCACAGCGCAGATGCACTTGTTGTCTGCCTGCAGTATTCCCCGCCCCAAACAGGGGAGCTTGGTGGGATCCACAGGTGGAGGCACCTCGATTACAGCTGTAGGGAGGAGGAAGGGACGCAGAATGAGCAAGAGGAACAGGGAGTGTGGGAGGTGTGAGATAGCAGACGCTGCAGTATTCCCCGCCCCAAACACGGGAGCTTGGTGAGATCCACAGTTGGAGGCACCTCGATTACAGCTGGGAGAAAGAGTGGAAGCGACAAAAGGAAGAGAGGAAAAGGAAGAGGGAGTGAGACACAAGTTGCTGCTGCCTTCCACCCCGCCCAAACAGGGGAGCTTAGTGGGATCCACAGGGGGTGGCATCTCGACTACTGCTGGGGAGGAAGAGGGAGTGCAAGAGAAAACGAGGAACAGGGGGGGATTGAGAGGGGGGTGGAAGGGCGTGAGATAGCAAATGATGCAACCTGCCCCAGCCCAAACAGGGGAGCTTGGTGGGATCCACAGGGGGGGGGCACCTCATTTCCAGCTGGAAGGAAAAGATGGGGCGCAGGAGAGAGAATGAGGAACAGGGAAGGTGACGAGGGTGGTCTAAGGCCGTGAGATAGCAAATGATGCAGCCTGCCCGGCCCAAACAGGGTAGCTTGGCAGGATGGGATCCACAGACGGAGGCACCTCCTGGGAAGAAGGGGAGAAGCAAAAGGAGCAGGGAGTGCGAGGGAGAAGGGGGGTAAGTTTGAGGATCGTTAGGGCAGACCCTGTTGCCTGCCGTGGCCCAAAACACGGGAGCTGAGAAACAGTTACAAGCTTAAAGCACGGAATCCCCTTCCCATCCCAGCAGAACCTCTCACACCCACCGTTGTGTGCTCCCCTTCACAGCCCAGCACCACCCAGCACCACTCTACACCTGCTCGTGCCTACCTATTTCCCACCATTCACATGCTCCTTTGTGTGCTCCCCTTCACAGCCCAGCACCACTCAGCACCACTCTACACCTGCTCGTGCATATCTCCCACCATTCACATGCTCCTTTGTGTTCTCCCCTTCACACCCCAGCACCACTCAGCACCACTCCACACTTGCTCGTGCCTATCTCCCACCACTCACATGCTCCCTTGTGTTCTCCCCTTCACAGCCCAGCACCACCCAGAATCACTCTACACCGGCTCGTGCCAATCTCCCACCACTCACATGCTCCTTTGTGTTCTCCCCTGAAGTCCACTTCCACTCCTGGCTTTGCTTTCTCCTCCTCGCGCACCTGGTGGGGAGGAGATCACATAAACCAAAAGAAGAAGAAAAAAATGAGTCAAATTACAGACAATTTCTGAGTCGAAAAAAGAATCATTTGTGAAAATCCACTTCCACTCCCGGCTGCCTTCTCCTCCTCGCACCCCTGACAGAGATGGAGGAGAGGGGACAACCAGCAAACGGTACACACAAAACAAGTATTCCAAAACAGAACCCAGTATTCTTTTCAGACGTGCTTTCTCCTCCTCTCAAATATTTCCTAATCAACTAGCCTGCAAGTTAAAGATACCCAGCAGCCCCACCACACCTGCTCCAGAGCAATCACTTCCAGTCTCAACACAGGCAGATTATCCACAGGGAGGCTTGAGTCGACTCAAAGGCCATCTCATTACCACCAGAACCCAGCAGTCCCACCACTCCTGCTGCTACCCACACACTCACTGTGCCTGGAATAGAACCCACAAGCCACCCAGCCCACCTGCTCCTGAGAAATCACTTCCGGCTTCAACAGAGGCAGATTATCCACAGGATCCTCGTTTGAGACGTCTCAGAAGTCACAAACACACCTGCCCCAGAGCAATCACTACCAGCCTCAACACAGGCAGATTATCCCTGCCACTTACTTGCCAATACTCCGAAGACCCATACAACACACCTGCTCCTGAGCTATCACTTCCGGCTTCAACACAGGCAGATTATCCACAGGATCCTCCAAGTGTGTTTGGTGTCCACTCAAACCTGCTACCCTCACAAACACTTACCTGTGCCTAGAACCCAGAAACCCCAACACACCTGCTCCTGAGCAATCACTTCCGGCTTCAATATAGGAAGATTATCCACAGGATCCTCCTCCGGCTCCTTCTTGGAAGCTGCGCCTCCCTTCCCAAACCCAAACCACTGAAACCCACCCCCTGCAGCACCCCCACCCTCCCCATTCCCCCCCCCACCACCCCCTGCTCCGCCTCCCTCCACCCCTGTCGTGTTCTGCTTTTGCCATAGCACCACCCCTGGCAGACCCGCATATAGTCTCTTCCATCCAAACCCAGCGGGTTGGGCTTTAATCGCTGAGCTGCCCCCCCCCTGCCCTGCTCCTGCTGTGCCCCCGCCTGCCCCAACGCTGCCTCCCTCGCCCCCAGGCCCCTCCTCCCCAGGTTCGTCCTCTATACTGTCCACCTCGTTTGCCTCTAGGAGCTCGTTTCCTTCGTGCACGAATTCGTCCCTGTTACGCGCATCGCTATCCATACCAGCATTTGCAGCCCCACTACCAACAGTATTGCCACTACGGCTACTGCTACCGCCACCACCATCACTGCCCGTGCCGTCGCCCTTGCCTTCTCCTCGCTCCTTCTGTGTCCCATCTGCGCCAGCTGCTGCCACCGCTAATTCCCCAGCATTCTCTCCCTGTCCCTCTATAGAGCGACCCACTTCACCCCCTTGCTGCTTCTCTTCCTCTCCACCACCACCACCACCACCAACACCAGCAGCAGCAGCAGTGGCAGCAACAGCAGCACCCAAATCCGCCTGCTCCTCTGGTAGGAAAACTTTCTCTGCTTGACCGTCCCCCCCCTGCTGCTGCTGCTGCTGTTGCTGCTGCTGCTGTGGCTGTGTCTGCTCTCCCTGTGCCGCTTGCCCAGCCTCTCCCTGCCTAGTTCCTTCGTCCGCACCCTTCCCGGTCCCTCCTCCTCCGCCCCCTCCCTCTCCCCTTCCCCCTCCCCCTCCCCCTTCCCCTCCGCCCACCTCTCCCCCGCCCCCACCCCCATTGCTCTCACTGCCGCGCACAAACGCCCCCGAATTAAACTCCTGCTCAAGAGCCGCCTCCATGCTGACGTCATCAGGGTCCATGCTTCTCACCGACTCCACGAAGTCAAGCGGCCCCAGCATGCCGTCTATCAGATGCACCACCAGCTGGCCTTCTAGAATGTCCACCTGGGGGACGGGGAGATGCGAGTGGGAGAGAAGGAAGGAGCATGCTTCTCACTGCACCGACTCCACGAAGTCAAGCATGCCATCTATCAGATGCACCACCAGCTGTCCTTCTAGGATGTCAACCTGGCAGATGGATGGGAGTGAGGGAGGGAGGGCTGATGCTTCAGGATGTCATCAACAAAAGTGAGCATTCAGCCTTTTTAAATGATGACACAGTTCTCACCGCACCGCTAAAAACCATTCTGAAAATTTCACACAGCCCACCCGTTTGCTCGGCACGCCATTGGCAAATATCCGTCCAGTGGGCGGGTCCCTCCCCATGTTGATGATAAACCCTGTTATCGACTCCAACCGCTCTAACAAACATCCCCAGAGAAATGGCAACTGCTGCACACACATCACACGCACCCGGTACCCACTTTCGCCTGACGTGCCCAACCCATTAAGCCCACCTGCTTGCTCGGCACGCCATTGGCAAAGATCCGTCCGGTGCGCGGGTCCCTCCCCACATTGATGATAAACCCTGTTATCGACTCCAACCGCTCAAACGCCCCCAGCGGGATGTCAGCTGCTGGAATGCGGCGAGGCACGGCTGAGTAACCCACTAGCCGACTCAACATGGGGTCGATCTGGCGGAAAACGGGAGGAAGGAGGGGTAAGGAGGCAAGTGAGTGGTAAAGGGGAGAGGGGAGAGGGGAGAGGGGGGAGGGGGGGGGCAGCAACATGTCGGCTGCAGGGATGCGGCAAGGCACTGCAGAGTAGCCCACTAGCTGACTCAACATGGGGTCGATCTGGAGGAGAAAGCGGGAGGGGAAAGGGGGAGAGGGAGGTGATTGGGGAGATAAAACAACTTTTAAATATGAGGGGCAACGGAGCTACTTCTGTGTGCAAAACCACCAGTGAAGGCAATGAGCTCTGAGCAGAGGTACACACGCACAAATTCTTTTGTTCTGGGATATGTGAAAGGTGCTTCTGATGTCTAACAGGGTGTTTCTTTTGTTCTCATGAAACACCCGTCACAATTGAAACTTTTCACGAAGAGCAGCAGCACGCACCAATTCCTTTGTTCTGGGGTACTTATGAAAGACGCTGCTGATGTCCAATAGGAAGTCGTCTGAGGGAGCAAACAGCGTGAAGGGCTCGTCAGTGCTCAGCATGCCCGCCATGGCGCCTGCAGGAAAGAGGGGGGGGTGGAGCAAGTACGAAGGAGTGGAGGCAATAACGGCAAAAGCGAAGCTTGTATGTAAGTCATCTGAGGGAGCAAACAGCGTGAGGGGCTCGTCAGTGCTCCGAATGCCCGCCATGGCGCCTGCATGAGAGAGAAAGGGATAGGGTTTTACAACTGCTATTATTGCTCCGGCGCCTAGAAAACGGGATTTGTCCCTGTGGGGGCGAATAGTATGAAGGGCTCGTCGGTGCTCGGCATGCTCACTCGCCATGTCGCCTGAATGAGAGAGGAGGAGATGGAGAAGAGATGGAGAAGGGATGGAGAAGGGATGGAGAAGGGATGGAGAAGGGATGGAGAAGGGTTGGAGAAGGGTTGAGAAGGGATGGAGAAGGGTTGAGACAGGGATGGGGAAGGGTTGAGAAGGGAAAGAGAAGGGGATGGATGCAGCGTATGAGAGAGTGAACGAGAAAAACAGCAACAGCACAACAAAAAGCCCCTTTTGGCAGGAACAACAAAAGCCACTCGCTGCTTTGCTCCCAACCCACAAACCCGTATTGAGCAACAAGGCAGAAGAAGTGCTCGTCTCGAACTAACGTGTTATAGCTTCGAGAATAACAAACAAACAAACAAACAAGCAAAAAAACCTGAGAATATCTGGAGCTTTCCGCCGGAATCAGGTGAGTCCTCCTTTCCATTGTGGCTTCCACTGCTGCCAGTCTTAGTGTCCGCGTCGGCTATGCGCTGACGCACACTGTCCGGTGCTGTCCCCACCTCCAGCACTGGTGCTGTCTGTTCGCTCTTAGGCGACGTGCCTGGTGACGGGGAAGGGGGAGGGGGAGGGAAAAGTATATGTAAGGGGGCCTGAACGGAAGATGCGCTGGAAATGAATGGCCAGGAGGAGAGGTATCGCAGATCTTGGGTCGAATTCACACCCAAAATAGTGCTCTGAGTGTCTGAATCGGCTATGCGCTGCCGCACACTGTCCGGTGCTGTCCCCACCTCCAGCACTGGTGCTGCCTGCTCGCTCTTAGGCGGCGTGCCTGGTGAAGTGAAAGGAGGGGGGAGGTGACGGGGACGGGGAAGGCGAGGGGGATGGGGAGGTATGTGAGGGGGGGAACTGAAGGTACGGGAGGAGGGATAGTTCAGATCCTGAGTCGAATTCGCACCCAAGTTTGCGCTCCGGACGTCTGAGTCGGCTATGTGCTGCCGCACACTGTCTGGTGCTGTCCCCACCTCCAGCACTGGTGCTGTCTGCTCGCTCTTAGGTGACGTACCTCGTGAAAGGGGGAGGTGACGGGGAGGGGGAGGGGGGAAGGGAAAGAGGGGAGGAGGGAATGGGGAAGGGAGCGAAGTGAGGGAAGGGAAGGGGAGGGAAGGGAAGAGGAGGGAGTGGGGGAGGGAGGGGTTCTGAGTGGGGATTTAGGGACGGAAAAGGAGATGTAGATTCTTCTGATTCTGAGTGAAAGTCAGCAACGCCCCGAGTTGCAACTTCGTCGACTCAGCAGGCACATGGACGGCAAGTGAGACGCCTGATACCCTCACAGCAAAATGGTTGCTGCGAGTACGAGATGACTGTTTGGTCCAATTTAAAAGGCTATTAAATCTATGTAAAACTCGGCAGGCACGTGAACGGCAATTGAGACGTCTGAGATCCTCACAGCAACAGCAGGTTAAAGGAGGGGGGAGAGGAGGAGAGGGGAGAAGAGGAGGGGGCAGAGGAAGAGGAGGAGGGGGGGGAGGAGGGGAGGAGGAGGAGGAGGAGGAGGAGGAGGAGGAGGAGGAGGAGGAGGAGGAGGAGGAGGAGGAGGAGGAGGATGAGGGGAGGAGGAGCATGAGAAGGAGGAGGAGGAAGACGAAGAAGAGAATGGACCCGGAGATGATCATCATGGTCCATACCCGCTTTATTGGAACGCTTTTGCGCATTCTCATAAATTATCAATGTAAATTACCATCATGGTCCACAACAGATCCATGGCTTGTAATCGAATAAAACTTACCTGAGAGGATGAGGAGGAAGACGAAGAAAAGCATGGTTCCGCAGATGACCATCAAGGTCCATAGCCGCTCCGTGGGGCTCGCGGGCTTGCTCCGCCGCTTCACCCGCGGCAACGATCCGTTCGCGATCTGCATCGCGATTCGCGACGTTCCTAGGTACGTTTTGAGACTGTCTTAGAAAACCATACGCATTGCGACTCTTCTTACTAACTTCTGAGGCGCCTCAAAAGACAATTTGAATCGCGAATTTCCGCCACGGTTCCTCTGAACGCAAGATTCACTACTGTTACGCGTGCCTTATGCTAGCTCGCGGCCAGATACACATTAATTTTAGGAGTTAAGGAGCACATGCTCACTCGTAAATGCAAGCCGGTTCTTAGAGCGCATCGGCTACGTGTAGGAGCCTCCGAAGTCATTATGATTCAACGACCAATTAAGATAAGAGAAGGCAGTCTAGCACGAGTAGGCCTTGCATTCTCGCCAGCAGAAAATTAGAGAAATTTGAACAACGACGAGCCCTTCGACCATACATCATCACGGCGATCACGACACGGTAAGCAGATCCTCCACAGTCGAGAGTGTGTACTCTAAAACAGCTAGTAAGAGAGCGACAAAAAGCTAACTGGAGGTTGTTGTCTGATGATATCAGGGCAGGTGGTAGTGTGTGTGGTGATATTAATCACAGACAATTCCCGAGGTTGGTTTGGTTTGGGTTGCAGGAATCTTGTTCGGTTCTTGTGCGGTATTATCGAGGTTGGTGGTGATGGGGATGGAGGGGTTTCCTGAATGCGCGCCCGCCTCGTGCGCCGCGCGGTTCCGCTGCTGCGCCCACATTTTTCAAGATCTGCTGCATCTGGGCAGCCGCGCTCGCTGTGCGCGAACTTCCGCGCGGCGAAATGGACCAACCAAACCCAAGGCGCCTGGGAAAGTTAGGCGGAAGACTTTTCAACATGAATGGTCGTCGCCTGTAAATCGATGGTCAGACTGAGGTCCTCGTCGTCTTAGCTTACGATTGGTCGGGTGAAACAACAAATCGAACAACCTTGCAACGCAAGGAAGCTTCACTTTTGGTACAAGGCCCCCACCGACAAAACCCACGTAAATATACACGTCAAGGATGTCGTTTGGGATGCAGGTATCACTTATAGATCGCAGTTGAGTGTTAAAAACTACATCCTAGCTAGAAGCCACCCTCCTCAATTAGGAGAACTTGTGGCAATTTCCAGTTCTAGCAAAACGGAGCACGCTTGAGATATGAATTGGGAGAGGGCCAAAGAAAACATTTGACCAATTTAGCAGGACATACTAAGGGGAAAGTAAAAAGGAGACTACCAAAGCACTAAAAGGGATAGACGGGTTGCCGACGCTGCCATTTAGCAGCAGGTGCTCTCATCCTTGGTTGCGTTCGGCCACTAGAGCATGGATTCCTTCTGGGTGGTACGGCGCAAAGAGGATGGACGAGTTGTGCCCGCCAAAGCCAAACGAGTTGGAGAGCCCCACATTCACATCCAGGCGCTCCTTAGTGTCACGCACAAAGTAGCGCTCGTCCTGGTTGGATATCATCAGGGGAAGGGATGAAGGGGAGGGTGGAAGGCATCAGAAATGATCTCGAGTCAAGGCACGTGAGTTTCTACGGGGGCTTGGCAAGTGATGGATCTCTGGATAATGGAAGAAAAGAGCCACATAACGGTGGGAAAAAGAGTGCGGGCTCACGAGTTCACATCGAGAGACAGCGGTGAAGGTTGCCTGTGCGGATGGCCTGCAGAGAGCAACTGGGTTGGCCTTACCAGTCCCTGCTCGCATCATACGTGTACTGCTCCCACGCCCTCAGCCAACCATTACCGGAGTGACTTTTGAGAATTCTCAAAGGCCGTCCTCGAGGTTTTCCAAGTTGAGGTTGGGGTGCAGGTAGCCGGTGTGGAAGGCCTGTAGGGAGAGCAATGAGGCCAATTGGGTTGCCCTTACCAGTCCCTGCCCACGTCATACCTGTACTCTTCCCATGCCCTCAGCCACCCCTGACCACCCCCCTTACCACCCCTTACCACCCCTCACCACCCCTTACCACCCCTCACCACCCCTTACCACCCCTTACCAGGCCGTCCTCGAGGTTTTCCAAGTTGAGGTTGGGGTGAAGGTAGCCGGTGTGAATGGCCTGTGCAGGGGGCAATTCGGGGTGATGGGGGCAAGAAAAGGGGGTGCAGTCGGGGGCAATAAGAGGTGGCAATAAGAGGTGGCA